TATATATATATATATATAGGAAACTGATATATTTTTTCAGGATTTTTTGATATGTTCAAAAGAACATAATTTATTTGAAAAATAACATTTTAACATTATAAATGTTTTTACTATCACTTTGGATCAATAAAGGTAAAGTAGACATATAATTTCTTGAAAAACAAAATCTTGACCCCAGACGTGCAAAAATTGCTAACTTTAATAGAAAATGTATAAAAGTCTGATTAAATCTATTTTTTAAAGCACTATTTTGTGCCATATATGTGGAAAGTATCTGTTACCCAGCACTACTAAGCTCATTTAACTGTTGGGTCTGTTCTTATGTGCAATCTTACGAAGCTCTACATTCACCCTCATTACTATCTTATAATTATGAATCTCTCCCAGGCTCTGCACCATAATTTGATGTTTAAACCGTATTTTCAAGTGTAAATGCTCGAAACACTATGTGAAGCCCCAGTGCAAGACAATCTCATAACCTTTTACAAAGTACGATCTGTGACGTTGTACTCTCTCACATAAATTACAGTAACGTGAAATATTTCCTAATATTAATACTCAAGTGCTCCAGTCTTACTTTATTTACTGATAATTTTTTGGTTTTGTGACCACAGTTTGTGATTCATTTTCCCTGATTAACATAGAATAGTACTATAAATGTAGTCTTACCTGGAGCGTGTTGACACATAGTGGTTCATCTATGCGATCTCACACTGCAGAGAAAAGAAAACAAAAGAAAGTAAGTAAAAAATGAGAAAGAAACTTCAGCATCCTCCCTTTGGCTCTTCAGAACTGATGGACAAAGCAAAAGAAAAAAAAAATGAAGGGCTACTGTATGAGTCATAATGATCTGTATAACAGAGCAGCCCCCTCAACATTACGATAAGACCTTCAGTGGAAAAACTCTCTTTCCCAAACTGTTCCTGTGTTTGTGTGTGTCAGAGATCATACATCACACAGTATCACTATGAGTCCTTTTCCGGTACACACACTCCTCCATTCAACCACAGTGATTAGTCCGGACCATAACCCTCCCTAACTAGACAGAAAAACCAAAAAAAAAACAATAATGTGTGTTTAAGTTGTTTGGTGTTCGCCTGGGACAGGCTAATTATCTGACTATTTGAAAGCCACAGTGAGTAAAACACACATTTCTGCTGAAACTTGGTCACAGTGCATATTAGGATGTGATGTGAGAGCACTATACTGAGAGACGACTAGTTAGTGAGCATTCCTTTCTAATTTTACACATACCAGTTTAAAAATCATTATCTGTTGTCCTGTCTGTACTTCTGGCTATTTCTATGGTTGGAGAACAGTATTGTTGTTCTTTTGGTTTATATCTTTTCATGTTTTTGGAAACTACACTGGACTTTTCCCAGGACAAGTTCTTCTTTCCCTCAGAAATCTCATGGGTCGTATCCTGTCTTCATATTAAATTAGATCTAAATTGTGTAACATCTTCCAATATCAATACAAGGTTAAGAGAGGCCTGTAATTTAATTTTAAAACCTAAAGGATGATTGTCAGCTTAATTCATTTAATTCAGTTTTATAAAGTTTACATGGCATAACATTTTATGAAAATATTCAACTAAATAATGAGAGATAAAGGAAAGGCAAGAGAAATTTAGCATTACATCACTTGCTCACCAGTGGATCCTCTGCAGTTAATGAGAGAATGAGAGCATCACAATAATCCACAAGTAATCCGCATGACTCCAGTCCATGAATTTAATGTGTTATGAAGTGAAAAGCTGTGTGTTTGTAAGAAACAAATCCATCACTAAGGCATTTTAACTTTAATCCATCACTTCTGGCCAAAATACCAGTCCATAATCTATAATAATGCTTCCTCAAGTGTCCATTACCTGTTGTCCGCTCACATAAAAATCCACCAACATATTTGTTTTGAGCTGTTTTGGACTGTTTTCGGGTGTAAACAGTGTTTGTGCATATTTCTCTCCTGTTTCAGAAGAGACAACTTTTTCACTGGAGAAAGCAGTATTATGGATAGATGGCTCATATTAGCCAGTAGACGTTATGAGTTTGAGTTTGAAGATAAAAATGTCTTAATGATGAGTTTGTTTCTTACAAACGGGCAGCTTTTCACTTCACAAGACATTAACTAATGGACTGGAGTCGTGTGGATTGTTGTGATGTTTTTATCAGCTATTTGGACTCTCATTCTGACGGCACCCATCCAATGCAGAGGATCCATTGGTGAGCAAGTGATGTAATGCTACATTTCTCCAAATCTGTTCTGATGAAGAAGAAAACTCATCTTAGATGGCCTGAGGGTAAGTGCATCATTTTTTCTTAGAAAATGTAGATTTTTGGGTGAACTATTTCTTTAAATATTATTAAATTGAATTAGGTATGACTGAAATTGAGTCTCTTAGACTATGATCTATTCTTTGACAGAAGGGTTTGGCTTAACAATTCTCAGATTCAAACAATTCAGTGTAAATATTAAAGTCATTGAAAATTATATCAAGAAAACTCTGAATCCAGGTCTCCTCGTTATCTGTTTTAATGCCTAAATACATTCATCAGAAAATCATTTTTATGAAGCTTAGTCACCATGCCCATTTATTATATTCTTGAATGAATTGCACTACTATGTTTTTCTAGAATTGTCCATTCAAATACTTGGAGAGAGTTTTCACCATTGTCCTCCAGATGTAACCACCGTTATGTGCCGGCATCAAGAGAGGAAAGCGGCTGCGCATTTTTGGCATGGCTTTATTGAAGCCAGCAGCCTGTAGTATTTCAGGGCCTTGACCAATGGAGCCTGGCTTTAATCAGACACCGAGCCAAACTAAGCCCAAACCTGAGCTTCAAAGCTGGCATGAGCCAATACTCTTTCATTTGACTTCACAAATAGATGTCGCGCAAACGAGTAGCTCTAAAATTATGTTGTTCCTCATTGAATAAGTTAAGCAGTGCGGCTGTTCTCCCGTTTCAGCTGCATAGTCACAAATAACTAACTTATTTGACTTTTCCAGGCTCTAATCATTTTATCAGGAATCCTAGCACCTGTTTCTCATCTATAACATGATATTTAAGTTGAGACAATAATGGGTGCACAACTGCTGTCATTAGTATTCACAGCCAGGGTTATAATGAGTCAATGTCAACTAGACCTCCCACAAGCATGCCAACCAGCCTGCTGCACAGCAGTGTTGACCAAGCAGGTCACTTTTAGCTGGCCAGGCATTTTCCTGTGCCATCCGTGTCAGTTCCTCAAGAACAAACAGGTGGAGCGGAAAACAGGTGCATTTCGCACGTGTTTTTCAGTTCCTTTACTCTTAAATGAATAGTTCACCCAAAAATTAAAATTCTGGTATCATTTACCCTTTTCTAAGGAAAAAATATATTTTTAAGAATGTTTCATCATTCTCATATTTTAGACCCCACTGACTTTCATTAATTAACAATTTTTTCAAAATACTGTACTAAACATTACTATAATAATCGGTTAAAAAATGTTGACTGCTAAAAAAATTTACTTCCTAAGAGAGTTTCCTTTCAAACATTTCTTCCAAGCGTCAGAATAAACAGAAACAGACCACATCTTGTGGGAAAAACATTACATAAACTTTTTGTCAGAGGATTGGGGTACAAACTGCAAGACCATTTAAATCCATAAAAATATCAGAAGGAGTCTCTTATGGTCCATATGAAGTGGCCTTATAAAAACATGTCCTCTCACTGGGTCTGTTTATCATGAACTCATGAGATCCAGTTGAGAAATCTCTCGTCTAGAGTTGGTTGTAACCACAAACCACTCAATCTCCTCATACCTCATAAAGGAAGATTAGGAGAGATGGCATATGAATGCCCAAAACGTCTATGTCTGATCACATAATTCCACACACGTATTTGACTCTGCCTAATAATTCACATCACTTAATCTACTATGAGCCTGCATGGTTTATAGACTTAACTGAAGTGCACTTTCACAAAAACACCGTCATTTAAAAAGAACAGAATGAGAAGCTTTTTTTAAAAAACATTTTTCAGTAACTAAGCTGTATGGTCTTTATCTGCTACACCAAGAATAAACAAGTTCTGTTCTATTATGATTTTTATTAAATGTGTTCAATCTTTAACAGGAAAAATATTTATTTTCAATTTCAGTCTCACAGAAATGTGAATGTGTATGTGTGTGTGTGTGTGTGTGTGTGTGTGTGTGTGTGTGTGTGTGTGTGCGTGCGTGCACATTTGAATATATATTGTGTATAATTTATTTAATGGAAAATATGTATTTCCAATCTGTTAAAACATTAATATTAAAATAACACAATTTCATGTTTTTTATTAAATCATATTTCATATTAAATATTTTATATTGTTCACTTTATACATATATAAATTGGTAAGCTCCATAATTTACTAGATTTATTAACTGTAAAAATTAAAAATAATAACTTAAGTTTTAAGTAATCTTTTTTTTTTATGTAATTTAAAATAATATTTTATAAATAAATGTTCTGTGATATTTTAAGATTTATTGGATGGACATTGTCATTCTAAAGAGCACTTGATTAGTATTTTGGTTCTTTTACTGAAAGAAAGATTGTACATTTTATATATAAAAGCATTGGTCAACTTTCAGAAGTACACTAGCATATCCAAAGCAAAAATCCACGTAACAAATGTCCAATTTCAATTTTATAGGGTCTTTTAGAGATAAAAGATCTTGAAAAACTTTGCTGAAAAATACCAGAACCCAAAACAGTATTAAATCAGTGAGTATTTCATGTTAGGGCCTGAGATCTTAAATTCGGCCATGATTTATTTCACTCTCATTTCCTGCTCCACACCGTTTCACCCTCACTATAATCACAAAACATGACTTTGGGCAGATTCATTTGCCAGCCTTAATGCTACACTTCCTGTTTTTCCCCCCTTTTTTCTTTCTCTCTCATTTTTTTCTTCTCTAATATTAGGTTTCAGAATGCAAGGCCAGTCTTAGCTCTCTCCAACTCAGCCTCTGTTAGCTCAGTGAAGCAGAACAGTGGAGCTGGAGGACCTAAATGTACTTAACCCCACACAGATGGGAAACTAAAGCTTTTCCATACCTCAGCTGCCTAGAAAAGAAGAGAGACAGACAGAATGTTACTATTATTTAACGTCACTATAGCCGTTTTCTTTTCAGAACAGTTTTTATAACATCATGTTTAACTGTTTATTGTCAAGATGAGAGATTTAGTTTGAAAAACAGAGGGCTGTTGAAGGATGTTGCACTTTTGTACTGATTTAGCACCAGTTTCTTTGACCCATAACCACTATGAGAGAAAAGTGGGTGCTTAGGAGTGCCATGTTTAACATGCTGCTGGTTTTTGCTGTAACAGCAAGAAAAACATGATGAGTTCATTTAGGGCTGGCTTCCTGGAAACAGAATGAAGCTTTTGACTAAAGCGGGTTTTTTTTAGTAGAATCACCTCTTTTTTTGAGCACTTTAGTGGAGATCTATGTTCAAACTGGCCCCAAGGGATGTCAGTGTGTGTGTTCTGTGTTTGTACGGCTCTGTGTACCTTGGCTGTAAGTGACTGGCACAGCATTCCCAGTTGAATCCTATCCTCAATTGAACGTTTCTTTAAATTTGGGGTTATGGGTAATTATTCTTGAAATGATTTTTTTTTCTATTGAGCCATCATGTGAAAAAAGGAAGAAAAAAAACATTTAAAAGAGTAATAGTGAAGCTTAACTTAAAAAAAAAAATTAATACTCACACTAAAGTACGGAGCCTTGATGTGGGAGAAAAAAATATATCGTGGCCTCGAATTAAGAATTCATTCCCATGACTTAATTAATTTTCTCATTTTAGTTAAATAATCACCACGGATTAAGAATTTGTTCTCTTGTTTACATTTACTTTTCTTCATTATACTAATTAGTTACAATCATTTTATTAAATCATGGCCACACTGTAGTAATTTGTTTCATTTTATTAAATCGTGGCCACATTATACTAATTAGTTTCCATCATTTTAGTAAATTGCAGCCAAGTTGTACTAATTTATTCCCTCGCTTTAGTAAATCGTGGCTACGTTGTACTAATTAGTTTCCATCGTTTTATTAAATCGTGGCCACATTGTACTAATTTACTCCCTTGTTTTAGTAAATCGTGGCCATGTTGTACTAATTAGTTAAAATAGTTTTATTAAATCGTGGCCATGAATTAAGAATTTGTCCTACAATTTATAGGAAATGCCATTTAGTAAATCGTGGCTAAGGTGTACTAATTAATTCCTTCGTTTTAATAAAATCAAAATGAGGGAATGAATTAGTACAACGTGGCTACGGTTTACTAAAAAGAGGGAACAAATTAATAAATCGTGGGATGAATTCTTAATTAGTGGCCATGATAAATATATTTTTGTCCGCGTGCCATGTGCAGGGCTCTATACTAAAGTAAAAATGTATACCTTGTAAGGTTCATGCCATTCCACCGTCCTTCACAAAAGTCCTGTCTCTCAGACCTAGCTTCACCACGTACGCAAACCGGAGGCTAGATTATGCTCTTACTGACAGATCACATGAACACACATCAAAGCGCATGCACACACATTCAGAGCAGACCCCACAGGATAAACAAACAAGCATTCAGCCAGTCCTCTTGCCATCGTAGCACACATGGTACACAGTATCATCTTTGATCAGGTACCTGAGAGGCCTATTTGACGATTTTGAAGAACACTTGATCATTTATTTCATTTGCAATTTTATTTCCATCTTAGAAAGTATCATGCACTACGCATTTGTGTTAGTTGCTTCCCAAAAAGTATTGGTTAACCTTCAAGAGAACCCCAACAAATTAAAACAGCTGGCTGAAGTCACTTGTTACACTGCGTGTAAATTAATCTCAGGTCTGAAAGAAAAGGAAGCCATTGTGTAGTAGCAATAGTACGTCGCCTCTGCTGGAGGCGACGTACACCTGGCTTAGAATTAAACAGTTAGCTTCTCCATAATTATAGGTCAAAGAGTCAGCTCTGTTAACATCAGACATTAACTGATCTGCAGTATAGTTGATGCCACAAAGAAAGAAACTGCTGTGTGGATAGATGCGAAGTATTACCATATGATTGCAAGATCAGGTTTGAACAGAAACTACGATCAGTTTCTAATGCAGATTAGACTTCCTGGCTGCCAAAGAACTATTAAAAGCATTTTGAGTCTTATTATGCCGAACTTGTTCACCACACAAGCTCATGAAAGGCATGGGTTAGTGTCTATAAAATTTAAATTCTTTTATTTACTCACATGTATGTCTTCCAAACCCATATGAATTTCTTTCTTCCATTGAAAACACAATTATGTGAAGTTTTGAACTAATTTAACTACTACAATTAATGAGGTCTGAAGCTATCAAATAGCTATAGTAATATAGCGTACTGACTTCACACAAGATCCAAACCACAAGTCCCATCAAAAGCAAATAAAACCCATTACAATCAGTGAAGCTGTCTGAAGTCTATGTGACAGTGCGTTGAGTTGTCAACCGTAAATAGATGTCTTGTTCTATTTCTGAGGTAATTCCAAAAACATGTTCAAATGTTTGCTTTGATGGGTCCAGTGTAGCTGTTTTTGGTGCAGTAGATATGGTGCACCTCCGGTCAATACATTCTTACGTTTTAATTTCACACAGAATGTGCTTTTGTGTTTAAATTTGCAAGACACTGGGCAGTGGAATGGAAAAAAAAAATGCAAGGTCCGGAGACGCATTTTTAAAAAGTTTAGTTTGTCTAACGCATATCTAGTCCATGTTTGCATAATAAACAATGGAAGGTAGTGCAGTGGAATGCAAAAACGCATTCTGTGTGAACGGCTTTTTTATTGTCATAGAGTAAGACTTTTCATTTGAAAATGGTAAACATTGCAGTTTTGAGGCAGGCTTGTTTTAAAATGATGTAAACCTTAAAACAGACAACACAAAGGCCCGTTGTTTTAGTTTGTTCCTTGTGTTTTTCTTTTTAACCATAGCCACTTGTTCTTGTTTTCTTTTTAATTGCTTAACAGCAGCCCATTGGCAGAGCAGCTGTATGCTGAATCATGAACGTGTGCGATAGGCCGGCCATAGTGTGGCACAAAAGACATATCTCATACAAACATAGGCAAAACCTTGAGTTTAATGGCACAGGGGCTCATAAAATACCACATGCTCCCTGTCAGAGTCCTGTGTATTATTGAGCTTGATTCATACTGACAGAAGGCTTTTTTCCACTTTGTTGAATTACATTATAACAGTGCATAGTGACTTCAACCAGCCAAACCAACAGGGAAAAGATGAAAATAAGTTTGGAGTACAACAACAACAACAAAAAACATGAAATAGGGAGCGTAATGAACAACAACAGACTCCTTAAAAGATTTCAGAAAATATTTAAAAACGTGCTGATGATAAAATGTTATTCATTGTGACTGCTTTTCAAGTATATACAAATGCTTTTTGTCCTTTATGGATCTTGACAGGCCCTAGTTACTGTATGTTTTCAATGTATAGAAAAGAGCAGCTAGAACATTCTTCTACATCTCTCCTTTTGTGTTTCCACAGGTGAACGAAAGTCATACAGGTCTGGAACAACATGACCATTCAGTTTGAAGTCACTGGCCACTACACTTATTTAAACTCAGACCTGTTTGAATCCCGTGTGTCCAGATTGTTTCACTGAACAATGCCGCCCAGTATGTGTTCAGGCCCACTGGCCCCACGGTTACTGCTCTAGGAGCGGGAACCGGGACAGGAGCTGACACAAAGCAGCTGTCTGAGATCACTAGAGTGGCAGGAAGTCCTGCCAACATCTGGTCCTTCTATTAAGAGACCCTCGAGAATCAGAGCAGGCGACAGCAGGCAGACTCTAAAGGTGAGTGAATGTATTGTTTCTAGTCATGAGGTATGTGGCCACAAGGACATCACACTCTAACAATCGGCTGGGTAGCTATTACCTAATAGTTCAATTATGGTTTAGACATTAAGGTCTTTGTGTATTTGAGGATAGAGGTATAAAATAGGAGGAATGACTTCCTCTCCACAGACTCCGGCGACCAGCACAGAAAAGCTCCTGTTAGTGTTGCCATTAGATAAGAATATAATGCTAAACATCCTGATTGAGGTATCTGGGCCTGCAATTGTGTGTGCTTACAAGTTGAGCAATTTCTGTCTAATTACTAATAAAAAACATCAACGCTTTACAATAAGTTTCAGCATGTTAACTTCGAATTTTAAGAGTAATAACAGTTTAATCTAGTTTAACATTATTTTTTGTATATACTAATACATTTTTAACATTTCAAGTTGTATAAATTAACATTGACTAATGTATTTTGAACAATCATGAATTAACAATTAACAGTATTATTTTTGTACATGATCCTTGATTAATGAGTGATGCTTATTGTTAATGCATTATACCTTATGCTATAACTAAAGGTACTGAGCTGAACTTTATTGTAAAGTGTTAATCAAAAACCCACAAAAAATACCCTAAACTTGCTTTAATTACGTAAGTAATTCTACAAAGTGTCTACAAACAGCCATAATCAACATTTAGGTTTTGTTTCAGTCCTCAGTGGGTGTCTGGTTGTGCTTGAGGGATGATGTTGACCCTGTTTGGCCCTCCCGAGCAGGGAAAGACATCAATCTAATGTGAAGTGTTAAAGGAAGTCCTGCCAGCGTGCTGTTGTTCAAACAGAGTCCAGAACCCCTGAGAGTCATTCAGCAGCTTTTATTTAACACAGAGAGCAAAGGTGTTCCCTTTCAACACTCTCAAAAAGCCTCCACCTGAGACTGATGAACTGACTTTCATCCAAAATCTCATCTGCAGTTATGGCAGTGCGCACTGTGCAATTACATCTTCTTTAAATCATATTCCTAGTGAGCTCTCAACCACATTATGAAAAATTAATACTGTAGACTGCTAGATATACTGTATATCATGTCTGTATATATGGCCACAGACAGGGGAAAAGCAGTCAAATGCATTGAATTGTATTGAGGAGAACCTTACAGATATTCATATTACAGTTGTAGTCAATACACAATTGACATTCCACTTTTGAAAAGTGAAATATTAAAAACTTTAAAGCAACAGAGCAGTAAAGCACATATAAAGCAGTCTTTCATACAATATAATATAATATAATAGTTTAATATATTGAATATAATTGTATTTTAATTATATATTATATAATTTGAAATTATAATACATATTTATTTAATGAGTGCAACTCATTTCATTTAGTTTATTTAGTAACTAATGATACAAAATCAGAGCAACAGCACAGCAACATATAGTTCCACTCCAACTCACCCAAAGTATTTTGTCCTTTCTCTTGTCCAAGTACACACATCTGAGCTGAAGCCGTAAAAGACTGTTTTACTTGAGTATTCCACTGTTTGTGAGTGAGCTGTCTGTGTAAGTGAGATTGCATACAAGTCCAAAAAACTCAAAGAAGGAAGGAAGAAAATGGAAAGGTAAATTGTCCTAGAGAGTCTGTTTGCCTATTCAAAACAGTTCAAAAAAGTCACTGGAGGTAGAAGGTGATCATAACGCCATGTGCAGATGCATACTGGAGCTGTGCTTCTCTTTATAACCCATGTCAGGAGGACGCTGTGCCCTGGAAGCTGGAATGTGACACAGAGAAGGCAGGAGGCAGAAATATTCACCACATTGACGGGTCAGAATGGAACTCTGGAGAGCAGTGAATATGAAAGAAAGGGAAAGAGGGAGGTCTGTGAGATTGAGAGAGAGATAGAGAGCGAGAGAGAGAGAAAGAGAGGGAGGGAGTCTGGAAAAGAAGGAGGGGGATGGTTGGACGACTAGTAGAGAACACGACATGACATGAGAATTTCATTCAGTCTGGACTTGGAATTTGCCTGTTAACTTTTGCTGGGAATTCTGTCCCGAGGCTCTCTGGAAAAAAGCATTTTTGTACTCGTATGTGGGTCCATGTGTACAGGAGTGAAATTCATAAAAATAAAAATAAAAATCATGTTCATTAAAATGCATGACCATCAAACAGCCATGAAAAATACAGAGTTGCCACAGAATACATTAGTTCACATAAGCCACAATTAATAATGTATGAATTTCTTTGCAAAATGTATCAAAATATCAAACAAAGTAGCATTTATTTTGAAGAAGAACAGCACAAGCTCACTTTTAAAGCAAGTTTGTTAGGTTTTAATAACAAAACAATAGATACACTGTTCAAAATTCGAAGTATTCTGACACGTTATGGTTTTCAAATGTTAGTGGATCATGTTCATAATTAATGTGATAAACTGCATCTGTGGTTGCCTGTAGGACATCTTAGTGAACCATTCAAATGTAAAAAAAAATTAAGACTCTTAATTAGCAGTTTTGAATTAAGTTGATCAAAAGTGACAGTAACAACATTTATAATGTTACAAAGATTTTCTGTTTCAAATAAATGCTGTTCTTTTGAACTTTCTATTAATCAAAGAATCCTGAAAAATAATATATCACCGTTTCCACAGAAATATTCAACAATATTTTCAACATTGATAATAAGAAATATGTCTTTAAATCAGCATTTTAGAATGATTTCTGAAGACTGGAATGATGGCTGCTGAAAATTCTGCCATTACTGGAATAAATTAAGTTGTAATGTTAATACTATTACTATTTTTACTGTATTTTTTTATCAGCCTTGGTGTGTATAAGATAATTCTTCCTAAAACATTAAAACATTTTACTGACCCATATTGAGTAAATGTGACTTTAAGACCAGAAAAATAGCACCAAAAATTGAAGTTAGTTCTGAGAAAAAGTCTAGCATCATTTCTTTGCAGATGCCACTTGATATGGTGTTATTAAATGCAATGAAATTCATACATTAATATTATTTAAATGTGGAATACATTTCCAAATGCTTTTGGCTTGTATTTAACAAAAAAAAAGAAGAAGCTTTAGTTTAAAGGGGTCATATGATGTTGCTAAAAAGAACATTATTTTGTGTATTTGGTGTAATGAAATGTGTTTATGCGGTTTAAGGTTCAAAAAACACATTATTTTCCACATACTGTACATTATTGTTTCTCCTCTATGCCCCGCCTTTCTGAAACGCGTCGATTTTTACAAAGCTCATCGGTCTGAAAAGCGAGGTGTGCTCTGATTGGCCAGCTATCCAGTGCGATGTGATTGGCCGAATACCTCAAGCGTGTGACGGAAATGTTAAGCCCCTTACCATACTGTGATGCCCTGTCCGGACGGTGCGACGAGACATAAACATTAAAACCCATTATAAATGAACGAAACACACAGCGCCTTCACGACATGGCGGCAGCAACAATACTACAGCGAGAATAAAAGTTACGCCTTCTTTCTTTGCGTGAACATTTGGGCGGCGTTATGCAAATCTTCCCACATCGTGACGTAGACATGTGGGGGCGTATTAGAACGAGCCGTTTTAGGAGGGTGTGGTTGACTCTTAAATTTTATAAAGAATATCTCTTTGGATTTGAGACTTTAGTCTTTGCAACTTTACAGATCTTCTTTATGCACCAAGAGCTTGTAACACTACAAAGAGAAAGGAAAAATTGAAATCGCATCATATGACCCCTTTAATGCTAAAGTTTAATGCTTTTAAACCAGGGCTGCCCAAACTCGGTCCTGGAGGGCCGGTGTCCTGCAGAGTTTAGCTCCAACTTGCCTCAACACACCTGCCTTTAAGTTTCTAGTATGCCTAGTAAGAGCTTGATTAGCTGGTTCAGGTGTGTTTAATTGGGGTTGGAGCTAAACTCTTCAGGACACCGGCCCTCCAGGACTGAGTTTGGACAGCCCTGCTTTAAACCCACGTTTGTCCATATAAATAATGAGCATTCCCATGACCTTTGAGCACACACACTAAGCTGAGTTTGTTGCTTTTATAGACCATAAAAGCTTTAGATAGTCTTTGACCTGTCTCCTCCCCCAATGTGACCATCTTCCTTTCATCTGATAGGAACCACTATAGCTGTCTGTCTGTGATTGAGACCTGAGCTTTTGATCACTCAGCCTGATCTTCTAACAACTCCACCACCACCATCCATGAAATGATCAAAGTGGGTTTGCACAATTATAAATGTGACAAGAAGGGAACTATGGTTAAAATCAAGCAAAATCACTAATGAACAGTGTCTGAAACGTGATCTGAAGCAATGCTGAGATAAGGAGAGTGACAAAGTGTTTAAAATGTGCTTTTATTTTGATTCTAAACAACAAAGTGCCACATGCTGAAAAACATAAGAACCTTGTAGTTGCAATAGTTTTTTTCCATATTGCATGAGAGCGCATGATCAAAGAGTAGCCGAGTGTTGACATATCTCAAGTGAAATGTCTATTGATAACCTGACTAGCTAATGGCTGGTAATAAATCGATTCAAGTAGAGACAACCAGCTATAAACAAACAATGGAAAACAATGAGCTCTGTACATTGTTATCTTGCCCATCTTCTATTTTCAATTCCCAACAGGTTGAAAAACACTGCCACAAACCAGTTAAACTTAATGGGGCCGTCATGATTGAGAAAACCTCTTTTCCCAGAGAAGGTAATTAAGCATTTAATGGGCATGTTAATAGTTCACCAACAGCACATGAGACCACGTGAGTGAATAAAAGCAGAGAGACAGAGCCGTGGTCTGCCAGATGAGATCCACAGATTCTGAAGGCACATTATGTAGCAGATTGCAGAGCTGCTGAAGTCCAAACTCACTCATGGAGATGATTTGATTAGCGTGATTGTTCAAAAGCTTTACGTAACGCTGGAGCATCTCCGGGAAAAAATAATGAGGAAATTTTTGCCTGGCTAAAGATTAAATCTATAGCAAAAACCATATTGGCAATGCACATAAAGTGAAAATATATACGAAAAAAAAATCAATGCATTCAACTAAACTATGTAAAAATGCCTTTAGGGTTTAACCCAGTAAAAACATTGAAGCATTGTGACTTACCAGCTTTGCGATTCAAAATGAACTTTCCTATGGATATAAGCATACACCGCTTCCTTAACTACACCCCATCCCCCTGTTGTGTTCCTGCTGAAACAACGGGCATAAGGGTCTGCTGAAACAGCACAATTCAGCATCAGTCATTGAGCTGCCCCATGTGCTGGTCTTTACTGCCCTGCTGCCCAGAGTCAACAAACCAGGGCCGATGGGGTGTGCCTGCATTTGACACAGAGCTTCTGATGAGTCAGCACTGAAAAAATCACAATATGAAACTGTATTAAAAACATTAATACATTGCATCCACAATTAGAAGGACATTCGTCAGTGTTCAGTTCAAGTGTGTGGTTTATAGCATTATATAGGATTATTTTTATTCTTCTGTGCATTCAACGTAAAAATCAACGTAACACCTATCAAGAAGAAACAAAGCAACATCGGCGTCCGATTCCAGACCTTCTCCTGCTCCTGTATTTCTCTCCACTGCTGGAAAGCTGCTCCAATATTTACGCGGGTCCTACCTCTTGACTGATTGTAACCCTTCTTTTTAATGTTTTGTCCCTCTGAAATTTTCCTCTGTTTTTTTTAACTGCCATCTCTCGCTAGTTGATCTGCTAATATCCGTGCACTCACTGAGCGCTCTCTTCTCCATATCATTAGTAGACATGCCACTTACTGCTGATTGGCAGTGTTTGTGTTTTGGGACTCGGTCCGACACTGTGGTCAAAAGCGTTTTTCAAATATTGCTTAGTGCACCTTTAATACATAAATCCTCACAATTGTTTTACCGTACTAGGAAATGGAACACCCATAATAAAACTTTGGAATGTGACAGCATTTAAAAATGTTTTGTGTGTAATATAGAACTCTGTATCCATTTAATATGCTAGATTATATGTTCTAGATTTCTAAAAGAAACAAAAATATAAATACATAAAAAAAATACATGCAAAAATACAATTATTCTTCTTCTACCATCATTAGGTAAAACTTTACAATAAGGTTCCATTTGAGAATTTTAGTTACGGTAACTACATAACATGAACTAACAATGAAAAATACTTCTAGAGCATTTCTCAATTTAAGTTAATTATATCATTTTCTAATACATTATTAAAATCAAACGTTGAATATCTGCTTATATTATTTAATAGACCTGAACTAACATGAACTATGAATGAACAGTTGTATTTTTATTAACTAACTTTAACTAATAATGAACAATACATTTGTTACAGAATATATTAATCTTTGTTAATGTTAAATTGTAACGGAGCCGACGAGACGAGAGACGTGCGGATCCATCTGCAAAGCTTTTATTTAAAGGCGTGGTCATAAAACAGGCAAGGTTCAGACAATGGCAAACAGGTATATGAGGGCAAGACGAAGAGTAATCCAAAACGGGCGTGAGTCAGTCGGCAGCAAACGTTATACAGAGGGCTTGACAAGAGGGGAAATCCAATAACACGAGCAATAGTCCAGGCAGGAGCAAACAGAGTCCGAACGGTGAGACAAAAGGGCAATCCGAGAAACACAGGCAGGAATCAGAACACGAGAAAACAGGCAAGGCAAGGCAAGACTAAGACTAAACAATGAAAACTAGAAATGGCTCCATAGAGTAGCTATCGCTAGGTGAGTGATAGGCGCTAAACAATACTCGGCCGTGAATGGTTGTTTGAGTGAGTGTTATATAGTGAATGTGTGATTGGTTACA